AGTGATGTAAAATACATTCAAACACTTTGGACTGGCATTTTATTGGTGCCTGAGTATTTTTAGACAAAACTAGGTCAGTCAGTCTGACAGGCCACCTGCTTTTGGCCCACTCCGGCCCAAATCAGCGCAGTAAATCTACAAATGAACATATTGCAAGTGTCTCCTTCAACAACTTTGCTCTTCTTTTCTTGAAATTCGAGACTTCGATTTGTGGCTGTACCAAAAAATACGAAATAAATTGTCACTTGAAACGAAACTTCTCAGTTTCTGCTCTCTATATAAAGTGCATTTAAATGTTTTGCTAATTAACCAGTACGAAATATCTTTACATATGTGTGGAAAAGAAGTGAATGTTTTATGATTTTCTATGCCCACTTGAGAGTTTTTCCGTCTGCAAATGGAAATTGTCAGCCTCCGGATGAAGAGAGACGAGAGAGTAAAGCTTGAGGCCAAAAGTGAAGGAAAAACAAATATAAAAACCATTATGCAAATGTACATGGATAATTGACAGAAAAAAGGAAAACCAGCAAGCTGCACAATTAAGGGGAAAAGTTGAGGGAAAATGCTGGAAGGAACAGAAACACTTAGGAGACACTTCGGTGACACTTGACATTCGTGGAGCGAGAACTGTGGGAATAAAGGAAATTAAGTTATAAACAGAGGAACGAATTAATCTTAAAACGGTGGGAAAAATCCAGAACTTCAAGTATAGCTTTTTACTACATTTCTACCAAGGCAGAAAGATTGCAGGCTTAATTGTGTTTTAAAACTGGCAATAAATGGTAGTAGAATTTCAAATTACAATTTTCTTTCTGTTTTCGTTTTATATCTGCCTTGAAATAAATGAAATTTTCATTTAAACCCTCTCACTAAATTACAAAAAGCACTTCATAAGCTTCAAATCACTCCCAGTCAGGCTATTAATCTGTTAGCTCTAACAAAAACCAGAAATCTAAGAACAAACCTCAAATATACAGAATGTGTCAATTTAATTGTCTTGCCTAACTGATTTATGGCAACATTAATAATGAAGAGACTCACACAGAACATTGAAAGAACATTAGAAGATGGAAATTCCGAGACAGAAAGACGGACAGAAATCGGAAAGGCGCTAAAGTGTGAAAAACTCATTAAGATACAAATTTGTTTATAGGTAGGTGTATATATACAACACACATTCTCTTTTATTTCATTGTTTTTTTTTTGGGAGTGCGGGGGAGTTGTAAAGTCTTTGCCCACGCATCTGGCGTGGAAAAAAGGGGAGAAATCTATATGGAAAAGGCAATCAGGCGTGGCGTCATGTAATGGAAACGCAAAAGTCACATTCATCAGTCAAAATATAATAACCAGACAGAAACAGAAACCGAAACCGGAGAATTCCGACTTGAGGTCTTGTCTTGTCAGTTTGGTTAAAGCCAAAGTCATTTGTCCAGACTTTTTGTTTGTTTTTGTATACGTATTGTAGCCTGCATTCAATTTACTAAAGACAATTGATTTTTTTCTGTTGTTGTTATTGCCGGGCACAAATTGAAAACGATTATCAATATGTTCGGCATTGACAGGCTGTTTCAACGGGGAGTTGGGGCAGGCATGAATGCGCGAAAAACTAACAAGAGAAGGAAAACAAAAATAAAGAATATACTACAAAAGCTGGGGGAGGAGAGGAAAAACAAAGCCACAACAAACATTCGCTGACTGATAAATGGCCAGCACAAAAGGGGAAAAAACAACGGGGAGTTTTATTTTTTTGGGGTGGTATCTCGGGGGTGCCCTTCATTGTGCCACTGCTGTTTGCCACACGCCTCAATGCAATTTAGGGAAAAATATGCTGAGGGAGCCGCGCATCGCCGCTCCTCCTCGAGGAATGTAAACAAAATGTATCGTAAAATAAATAGTTTTTAAAACCATTTCTCAAGCAGGGGATAGTGCTCGAGAGCCCTACGGAAAAAAGTGTGAAAACTTTAAATCGTTTTCCCCCACTGCCTTAATGAATTCAAAGTAAACATAAAACACTTTCGAGAACTCACACTGCTAATTCGGATAAACTGTGTGAAACATGTGCGATTAGCCAGATATTAGGAAGTGACAGCAACGTCGGGATGAAAATAAATGCTCAAAATTAGTTTGAATTATGATGAGTAGCATTGCACAACTGTACAGAGAAAGAACATGATCGTGGGATAACCAAATTAATATTTTTAAAATCTTTAATTGAAAAATGTAAATTAAATTTTAATAACTTACATTTTAAAGGAGTGTAGCTTATTTTCTAAGGAAAAGTTTAACAACCAGTGCTTAAAATTGAAAATATGTTTTAGCTCATTAGAGATAAAATCTTTATACATATCCTTACTCTTGTTATAATAATTTCCAAACAATTTTTTATGTATGCTTTTTTTCTCCTTGAGTTTGTGTTATCTGCAAGGTAGATTCTTGGATCTCGCTGACGAGCAAATCACTGGCAAACAAATAACAATTGAATGCAAAACTTTAGAAAGACCCCAGAAAAGAAAACCCAAACGAAAGACACAGATAGACTCGGGGGCAGGACAACTTTTGGTTTGTCTCGCTTGGTTTCCCGGGCAATTGAAGAGGAAATTAAACAAGTTTGCCTAACGAAGAACGCGCAGAAAGTTTTTTGCAAGAGAGCGCCTTAAAGTATGCGGCATCATCAGAAGAAGCTGAAGAGGGAAAAAGAAGGAAAAACCCCGAGCAAAAGCTTTCCCGACAACAGCCCCAACTTTTTCTTTCAGCTCCTGCCTGAGTTTTCTTCCACTACCACTGCAGCAATGAAAAGCGGGGTTATGTGGGGGCGGGAGCGGAAGACGGGGGCGTGGCAGCATTCTCACTGCTGCTGCTCCTAAACTTTTTGAATCAATTTAAGTTTTGACATTTTAATGATAAATTTGTAACATGCAGAGGAAAACAAGGGCAAAGAATGCCAGCGATGGATGTTGGAAGCCCTCGCTTTTCGCTGTAATTCCTGTTGCGGATCCTTTTGCAAGAATCCAGTTTATAAATGGCTCTAAGTGTTTCCCCGAGAAAGAGGGCAAGCGGTTTGCTTATGAAGTGAAATGAAGTTTGAAGTTGAGCGTGAAAATTGAAAAGTATTCCCAAGTGAAAGGGTTTGACTTTCCCTGTTGCAACTACTTCACACGCTTGGATTTCTTTTAAATACTTTGAATTTATTTGATTTTTCATGAATGTGAAGAAGATCATGCGGCTCCATTTACTTATAGCAAATATTATTAAAAATTAGGTATTTTTAGACCCGAATAAATAAGATTAAATGTTTTTAATTGACCAATATTTTTGATAACTAACATCTAAATAGCTATATTTGTACCAGAAAAATACAGAATATATTATGGAAAATTTTTGGTAATGATTTTGTTTTTATACTTTTCCAATACTTCAAGTCATTAAAGCTACTTCTTGTATTTCCTTTTTATCCACCCTCTAAAACTCACATAAATACGTATTTATCTGTTGTGTTATCGGGGAACACATGCTCGAGTATGTTTATCGAGGACATAACATCAGGACAAACATTGTTGGCCATCTAAAACTCATTATTGACTCATTTCGACAGTGCCATAAAGCGCCCCGAAGTATGTTGTCTTTATTTTTTGGCTGACAGCCGGCAACCATTTCCAATTAAATTTGAACACAGTACGCCAAATAATTTGGGGAGCGCTACTGTATATGTGTGTAGGGCCATTAAGACCTTTGTAAACTGCGGCAGGCATATGCACTTAATGGCTAAGCCAACACAGTCACAAGGACAAATTCAGGGTAGACCTCGGGATATATTCGTATCTATGTCCCGTATTGCGGCTTTGGCAATTTGTCGCTTTATTTGCGGCTTCCTTAGCGTTCTGTTGACATTCCATTTGAGGAGACCGCGCAAACAAATTGACAAGTTTCGTTGGTAAACAGTAAAGAACCCACATTTTTGTGTAACCTTAAGCCTTAGTGGGGGAACTAAAAATAAGGTGTTTGGCGCCACAGGGCAGGGCAACCGAAATGCCACCCATCAATTAGTTGTGATAACGATTATCGATAAAATGTGACACATATAATTGAAAAGGGCCTGACAACCAAAAAGGTGACACACAGCAGCAAATTGAAATTGGATCTGATTAACTAGCAGAAGGGGGAATTGGTTTGAACTGGCTTTCTGTTCAAACATTCACTACTCCAATTTCAGTTTGATATAAAAGAAAACAAATTAATGCGAACATTAAATTGCAGCATAGTTTTTCATTGCTATCACTTCACAGAAACAAAATGACAATGCATTAAATTTTATGATTTAATTTTAAAATATTTGAGATTTGGTAGAAAATGATTGTCATATCCACTTTAAATATTTTACGTCATTCGAAAACAATAATTTCATACTAAATATTTTCAAAGGTTTTTTATTAGTATTAAATTTAATTTTAAACTGCAAATATTTTCCAATAATTAAAAGAGCGAGCTTTACAATGTTTAATATTTTTATCTGGATCATAGTTTAATTATAAATTTTGTTTACCATAATCTTTAGAAAACTAATAACTTCTTGACCTGATTAGATTAAAGAGCTTACATGTAAACAGAGATATACGATTCTCTTAGCTGATAGCGATTTACCCTCCCGTTGTTCGAACATACCTCTTTAAGAATAAGACCTCTACTGTTCTCGTGCTTACCAAAACAAACTCTTCGATGACAACCGTTTATTCATAATGTTTTTCTATTCCCCTTGCCTTTGCAGATAAGAAGACGACCCACTGGGACGCAAGTCAATGCCTGATTGGGAGTGGACAGTCTGGAACTGGGTCTCTTCCGTCTTTATATGACTGATAATGGCCGTCTGCCCTGCCGAAAACCACAATTGCAACAACAGTGCGCCACAATGGCCAAACAAAATGAATATTTGAAAATTTGGAAACATATCAAGTGGCGAAATGACAAGTAAACAAAGCGAATTGAGTTATTATAAAAACGAGATTTACGCGCAGAAAGATCATAAAAAATATACATCCATACATATTTATAGAATAAACTGGGCAACTGGAAAATAAACATTCATGCAACGGAATCGAAGTGCCATAGTGAAACGCGAGTGTTTGCAAATTGTTCGCTCTGTTTAGTCAATATAGGAATCACACGAGACATATCGCCAATTAAATAGATATATTCATATATATATATAGAGAGTACCACCGACAATATGACAATATCGGGCGGCAATCAACATAATAACAATGCAAATCGCAAATATGAAAAACTCATTAAGCAGCCGCAGATGCAATTTGGAACGTCCGTGACCGGAACCCAAACGGATGTGGATTCCAGCGGAGATGCGTCTGATGTCGGCCAGGACTTTAGCAATTTCAATAAGCATTTCGGCAATGGTCATGCCATCATCACAGATCGCACGATGCTGCTGCTGCCTTCGGAGGACGATGTCACCACCACCACCACCAGCACCGCCGGCGCCGGCGCCGGCATTGTCACGTACAAGGGTAAATCGAATGGCAATGGAAACGGTATCGGGAACGGGAGTATCGGGAGTATCAGCCTGGATTTCAACGGCAGTCCTACCTCATCAACGTCAATTGGCATCGCCAGCAGTAGCAGTACGAACAGTAGTTCCCACCTGGCCAGCGGTGGACTGGGTGGTGGCTCCGAGCCAGGCGGTTGGATGTGCCATTGTTGTAATTTAATTGCACGTCGCTGCTTTGGCATCAACGTTCGACGCTGTGTCCTGGCGCTTCTGGCCATTACGGTGGTTAGCATTTTCTACTACACGCATTATGTCGATACGGGCGTGTTTAATGGGTGAGTACCTAGCAACCGGATGAAATGAAATGAATCAAAGAGTGCCGAGTCCGAGACCGAGCCCCCTTTGACCGGGATGCAATGCGATTAAAATTGTGGGTTGATTGTGTGCCATGGGATGACAGAAGATTTGCGCTGGCTTTCAGTGGTTAGTACTAGGGTTTTTAATTTGCATACAAAAGAAGTGATTCTAGCATGCCAAGTGCATAAAATGTTACACATAGATAATGTTTTAATAATTATAAGAGGATTCTTTAAGTTTAAAATGTTCTTCAGTTGAATCAAGTTGAACTGTTTATTAAAATATAGTTTTTTTAAATTTATATTTTCAAAACAAGATGAAAATGAACTTACTGAATGTTCTCAATTCAAGTAGAATCTTTTGTTTTTTTGTAGGTTTTTTGAAATCAAATATATTTTCGTTGTACAGACGATTGTCGAACTTTTTTCTACTTTTTTATATTTTCATTTTTGAAGCAAGAAAAGGCGGATCAGGTGTTATTGGTTCGGATCAAAGCCGGTTTGCCATACTATCCTTTAACCCTATTTTATTTTCGGGCCATTTCAGCGAATTTTTATTGTGCTCAAGTGGCGTTGATGGCGAAAATGCACTTCATGTCTGTGCTCTGTTCTGCTCACTTTTTGTGGGAAAGCGTTTTGTTGTGCGCCGTGTTTGATTGGATTTTTTTGTTCGTTTTCAAGTGGTTTACGAGGGGAATGGGAGGCGAATTGTTTTCAATATGCTGCAAATTAAATTAAAACAGGTGTGTGGCTGGCCAAAAAACGGAAACGGGAGAGGATGGTATGCGTAAATTGAAAAAATGTTTATGTGGGAAAACTCCCACCATTTTTTTTGTTTTCTAGTAAACGGAAAGTCATGTTGCGCGTGATGCGGAGATTTAAAAGCATTTTCAATCCGAATTTCTGTTAGCTCTCGCGAAAACTAGCACTAAAATTTTAATGTCTTCTATGCGCTTCTCAAAGTTTTAAGTCCCATTCAATTTTTTAGTACCCCAAAGTTTCACCTGGCCGCCCTAACAACCTTTCGCAAATCATCAGGCGATTTTTCTATGGCTTTTCTTCTTTTTTTTCTTGCGCCAAACGACAAATAAATGAATGGAAAGTTTCATTTCTACCCATTGCTATCGACAAGTTCCACTTTTGCTTGAGTTCAGTTCAACACCTTTTTGGTTGGCTTTATGCTCAAAGAAGGAAACCCGGCAGCAGCAGCAGCACCTGGGGTTTTCTTTTTCGGCTTCCCGTCTACTCCATGACATACTCGAGAATAAAACTCATTTGGTGCTAGCTTTTCGCATAGGGTGAACTCCGAAGTGGTCCTCGAAATGGAGCAAAAGGGGGAATGGGAGCGTTGGAAAAGCGGGAAAATATTGCTCATAATTGTGCGCGTAACTAAAGAAGCTTTTCCTGGCTGTTCGCACTAGTTTGCAGTGTGTTCTTTTTGGTGATTATTGTGCGCGCGAGTTGAGAATTTTCTGCTTTTTCGAAATGAGAATGGCGCGGGTGTATATTAAATTTTTCTCATGAAATTTTTAGCTGGCTGCAAGGCAGCAGCAGTTATTTTCGCTCACCTGGCCGTTAGCTGTTAGCTACTTTTGCGCGCAATTATGGTTTACAAACAGTTCTACCGAAACCCCAGCCCAGTCCATTCCATTTCACTCCACTCCATACCCTGCAGTAGTTGCACAAGCAACGAGCGAAGTTTTTGATTACTTTCATCAAGCGTTGCTAGCAGTAAGATTGCTGCAGGAGCTGGTTGCTGGTTGCGTGGGCATGGTTCTTGTTTTTATGCTGTTTTTTTACTTCCTCACTTTGCAACACGCCAGCTAAACCGAAAACAACAACAAGTCCTGCTCCTGCTTTTATCCTGGTCTAAGGTAAAATGTTATTTACATTTTCCAAATGCCAGTTGATTATTAAATATTTACCCTGGTCGGGCACTTGAAATTTAATTTACGGCCCAAGACTGTGGCAAAGTTCATTAGTTGGCTAAGTGGGTTACCATCAATCAGGACCAAAAAGGTCCTGCCTTATATTGAATAGCCCGAGCACGAGTCCGAGTAATTGTATGCGACATTTGTGTGAGTGTGTGTGTGCGTATGATAAATTTTAATGAATTCAGTTGGCCTGACTACATGATTGTTGCATGCATTTGGCCAAAGCGAGGGTGTGTGCATGTGTTACCGAGCAGTTACACTTGAAGAAATTACACTCATTGTGTGAGTTACAATTGGTTAACGATTTTTAAAAAGAAAAGGTGGATATGTGCTTCATTTAAATAATAAAGAGTTTTTAGATAAACCTAAAATCACTTAAATTACAATTTTTAAAGTAATTTGTGTAGAAACATTTTTTTTCTAAAATGTTAGAAAAACAGTCAAATTTTCTTTTATTTTAAGATTGTTTTAGACAACTTTTTCCTATGTTTGTTAACATTTTTTTTAAAAGGAATAGTTTTTATAGTTCTTGCCGTCCTTCTTATAGTTATTCATCTGTTACGTGCAAAATGCGGAAACAAGTGACGTGCCAAGTTTAAAGCCTGCCCCTCTTCTTGATCCTTTGAATGCGTGTGTGTGTGTGGGGGTAGGGGGCGTTTTGTGGGCGTGTCCTGCATCCTGGCTTTAGCTCCTCCGCTGCTGAGGTTGCCCCTGTGGCCATAGACGCCAGTCAGAGTCTGATGTGCGTGTTTGTTTATGCTGTCTGTCATTATTTGCACTCGCACACCCACACAAAGCCACTACTAGGATCACCCACACAAATACACACAAACACGCACACACATACCAACATATGCATAAATGCATTTGTTGTTGCTCTTGCTGTTGTTGCTGGCTGGCTTTGTAGGTGCAAAACGCATTTTGACAAAATGCAAACGTACGTGATTTGCATGAAACTGAGTGACTGACACAGAGGCGGCGATGTGGCAAGAAAGAGGGGGCGGTGTTGAAGAAGGAGGATGATGAGGAAGGTGCCAGAGGGATGGACAGCTGGAAACACCATCCTGACACGCCGGCAATAATTGATTTGTAATGCAAAGCCTGACAAAACTCACTGCAAATATGCACCAAATTTACATGCATTTTTAAAAACATGTAATTTCTAATTCCGCATTTAAATGAAGTGCCAGGTACAAATTGGGTTTTGATCAAATAAAATTGGATTACAAAACTATTAAGCACTAAATGTGTTTGCAAAATAACAAGCTTTAACTGGAAAGCGATAAATTTACATAAATGGAAATATTTAATTACATTTAAAACATATATTTCGGTGTATAAACAAGCATCTGATTCTATCAATTTCCCTACCATAGAATATAAATTCAAACATGTTTTAAATTTTTTAAAACCTTTGACATATGGCCAAATAAAATATTGAAATAAAATGCAGAACCAGCTGAAAACAATTTAAAATACATCCCAGCAAGGACAAAAGTCCTTTTTTCAAACACACTTCGCTATTAATTTAAATTTGAAATTTTCTGTGATTTACTCGGCTAATTTGGCTGACAAATGCATTTATTTAGCCGTTATCCTGCGAATTCGCCGCCGACTATCTGGTCGCCTGTCACGTGCAATCACAACGGCTGTCACCAAATAAACACGTATATATAAACACACTCTGCTTCAAATATATATACTCGCAGTGCTGCGACCGTATGCATTGAGTTAGAAACATTATTTGCTTTGCGTGTTAAGTGCGATAAATGCAATTTGATGTTAGACGAGTGTGCGTGTTCTTTTTTTCCGCAGGACAAGCTGGAAACTAAAACTGGTATATTTTTGCACTATAAACGCCAAATGTCCCTCGATAATCAACACAAATACTATGTTTATACGATAGCAATCACGATTTCTTGAAAGCGCGATATAGAAATAGCCCCTGTTTATACGACAGCCGAGAATTCATGCTTTTATTCACTCTCAGCTGATAGGGATGCCGGACCGGTAAAAATATCTAATTTTTAATACCACTGATTAGAGAAATGGCCTATAAAAGGCCTTCAATTTCTAGCGATCTGGCAACGTCAATCATTTTTTACAGAGTTACCAGAGTGCATATCACCAAATCACGCTTTTGGGCTGAAATCATAGTCAACTTTCGTGTGTTGCCGAATTCACGAAATGGCGTTTATACAAGCACGAATCGGCCGAAAGCGTGAAATGATAGCGTGAATTCGGCATCGTATAAACACAGTAATAAATTACTGCGCTGTCGGTCGAGTAATTTGAGCGTAAACAGCGCGAGTGTTTTTGTTTGCGTTGTACATGACGTATACGTGATGTGATTCACATTTGCGTGCATTAATTGACTAAATATTTTAATTGAAAATGCGATTATAAACGACAAATGGCCGCCGGTCAGAGAGACACATCGATTGAGAACGAACGTTGTTAAAATACGATTACATATGCGTATTTGCACAAATCCATGCGGCAAAAGAAACGATACGAAGCGCATTTAAGGATTCCAACGTTGTCTGTTGTTTGTCCGCGTGTCGAGCGCTGCGAAATGCAATAAATAATTACATTTATTTGCTTTAAATGCAATTACAAACAAACAAACAAAAAGCGACACACAAAAGGACAGACGAAGGCTGGGCGACGCCTTTTGCATACCCCCGCCGTCTGGCAATTTCCCGACTTTTCCCCCTCCGTTCACAGTTCATTTGGCCGAGTGTCCAGCATACAGCATTCAGCATCTCCCAGCGGGAAGTCCCTTTTCCATCCTGTCCTGCCCTGACATTTTCCCACTCATTTCCCGGCTGCAATTCAATTGAACTTGCCTTGCTTGATTTATTTAATTAACTTTTTTCGCATTTCCCCAGCGACCTCTCTTCCGAACCGACCGCAATCGTTGAGTCGTCGATGTCGAGGCTTTATTTCAAGTGTTTTCATCGGTTCCCATTCCGCCGACTTTCATTCTCATCCTCATTGTTCTTAAGTGGCCGCCTGCCGGAGAAATTCTTAATGCTCGAGTTC